ACAACATGTAAGCAACGTCTGATTTATTTTTATTTCTAATCAAATTAACTTTAGCTTGACAATTTGCTAAATTTATTTGAGATTTTTAAAGAGAAATGTCTTTGCTTATAGCCAATGACACTTACTAAGCCCTCCCAAAAATAAGCTGCAGCATTTAACTGATGTATAATTATAATAGTACTACTTTATCTACCCTAAAAGCAGCAAGATTGAATAAAAAATAAGATTCAGCTTGTCGATGCACTTAAAAGAAAATTGTTGAAAATTATGTGTAAATTGGTTACCCATGTCAATAATCACCAGAGGGCAGAAAAGACTCACAGAAACAATTGTAGTGATCAATATATTATATTAACCTATCTGTGTCAGCATTGTAATCAGTTAAGTTTAAAAATGTAGAAACAACTTTTCAACATTTAATTAGCATTGTTACAGAATTGTTAATTTACCAGGTTTGGAGTTTGATGAACAATTTTCTTAGCATTAGCAGTTTGATGTTTATGCTACATTTGAACCACTTTCGACACAATTCCCACATAAACCATGTTTTCACTGAGACAGGCAATGAGGTGGTCATTCTTTATTAATTAATTTTAATTATATTTACTCACAATGATAGATAGCAAGATTTGGTTTAATTAGCTAAACAGGTTTTTAACAGTACTGTTTAAATTGGTGGCTGCATTCCTATATTTCAATCCTGATATATTGATATCTATATATACAGTTTATAGCAACATAGGCTGAAAAGAGAGGAAGCATGTCAATTTACTGTTTCTTAAAATATTTGGGAAAATATGGCTATCGTCACAGTGTCAACAACTGAGTTGATTAAACCTGTCAATGCCAAACTTGATAACTTACAGTATAATCAATCAAGAGCAATTCACAAAATAATATATATTAAATTAACAAAATAAATATATATCATGTAAATCATAGCATTTTACTTTTCAGCTGAAATGATTGTAAAATGCTTTACACTAAGAAGGAGGCCAGTTTCATTCTCCATTTAAGTACAGCAAGTTTAACACTTATGCACCTACAATTCCACTAAAGAGAGGATCAGGTTGAGAAGTGAGATATTGTTTCACTTGATTTGGGAAACTACTTCACCTATTACGAAGCAGCGTAAGGTAGGCCACTTTTATGCAAGACAGGGCAGAATTTAGCCAGGACATCAGGGTTAGATAGGGATCAATTTGAAAGTTCAGAATAAAATGGCACAAACGCTGGTCAAATGCCATATTGGAGGTCAAGCAGCCATTTTTGGAAAACCATTGTACCATATTGTAAGTGTGCTTGGGTTACAGTAAAGATTTGGTTTGAAGATAGGGTTAGGATTGGAATTAAGCTAAGGCAGGTGCTCAGTTTGATGCTGTACTACCCACTATCATTGGGTTCTAAAGGTAAAACACATAATGGTAATGCATAAGGCAGCCCTGCCCATGACAAATGTAATAATAATAATAATAATAATAATAATAAGAAGAAGAAGAAGAAGAAGAAGAAGAAGAAGAAGAAGAAGAAGAAGAAGAAGAAGAAGAAGAATACCTTATATAGTGTTTTTCTGGACACTACAACTACTTTACTATTTTAAAACACATTCCAAGAGGACTTAAGAAATACAGTACACAGCTTGAAATAATTTCTGCACACTTACAGTATATTGTAAGGGAAAACTTCCAAACTGCTTTTCATCAGCTTTGCAGAGATTGTTCTATCATTTCATCTAAGAACACACATTTTTCCAAGATTAATTTTCATTAATTTTATTTGAGGGAATTTCTAAACAAATGTACTTCAAATCTGGTAACACCTGATGAGATACTTTATGGAATACATTCATCGTCATGTCATAGTACAATGTTCATGAGCTTTCAGTGAAGTACAGTAGTTGGTAGTGAAATTAAATGCCACAAATGTGGCTTCATTATAAATATTTATTATCACTTAGTTATTAATATTTGTTATCAACTCCTACTTACTCCATTGTCTTCATACTTATTCATGTTTAATTAATTGTTTAATTTAATTAAAAGCAATGTGATATATGGTTGCATGACTACATGAATATAGGGCAACATGGTGATCAGGGTGGCTACTGCTGCAGACTCTTAGTGCTTGGGTACTGGGTTGGAGTCCTTCCTCAGGAACCTTCTGAGTGGAGTTTGTGTGCTCTCTTTATGTCCATGTGTGTTCTGGCTAGGTACTCCAGGGTGTGGCCTATAACTAGCATCCTGTCTAGGGTGTATCCTGCATTGCATCCAGTGTGTGCTGGCTCTCACTCAAAACCACCCTGTCTTAGACTAAGCTGATGTTGAAAATGGATGGATGAAGCAGTGACTGTATATCATTTTCCTTTGTGTTGGGATGAAAATATTTCTGTACAGCTTTGAGATTGTGAAATGAAACAACATCTTTTTTCCCCCAAAGTAATATTTGTTGCTGAAGACAAGTACAATCAATTACTTAATACTGTACATAAATAAATTAATGCATCTAAAACAATTTTCCAAAAAGAAAACACAATTATCTCCATTAAATCACCACATAAATGTGATTTGATCACACAAATTTGACTTAATTTGTCTTCTAATTAAGAATACGTATAGTTACTCTAACAGGTATGTATACAGTTTTAAAATGTATGTGTTGCTTTTCCACAGTAAAAATGGCACAAAAGTACATAGGTGGTTTTTACAATATTCCTATTCTCTATCCTAAAGCATTCCCCTTTTTAGATTTTACAAAATACACGTTTTGATTTGTAATTTAGAATTAAACTTAAAATCGGTCTAATAGCTTTCTAAATGAAAACAGAGCTACCACACCAAATTTAACACTAGCCATCGTTTCTAGGTTAATAAAGTTTTCTAGAACAACATGATCTTTATATAAAGCAAAACATATATTCCACCCCGTGCATCTTAAACACTTACTCATACTGATATGCATGCTACTGTGTTTGTTTCAAATTGGATGTAATAACAGATACACGCTACCACGTAACACGTAACATTTGGTATTATATTGAAAAACAAGCGCATGTTGTGATAGAAATCTGTTTTAGGAAGCTTTTGACTGAGACGTCTCAGGAAGAAGCTCATTCAATTCTTTGACAAATGGAAACTGTCATGAAAGATTTCTCCCCCCAGCAGTGAGTGGCCGAGTGAATGAAGCTTGCCTGCTTCGTGATCTGGGTAGTTGATTTAATTCTGAAATCATCGTCTGTTTCTACAATGCTTTAAATTACAAGCCTGTTCTTGGGATGAATAGGAATGGTCACGGGGTGTTCTCTTCCCTTTCATGTTATTTTAAAGGACCGTGAGATATTTTTGTCCCTAACTTGTTGTTAAATTTGACAGCAGGACTATTCATTGTGGAATTGGCTGCAATTAAAGCAATTATGCAGATCACACTTCTTTTCTGATTCAACAGGGTGTTGCTGTGTGCTCTCTCAAGCCTGGTCTGAAGGTTACCTAAGCTGACATGACCTACGTAAACTGGAGTGAAATTATTAGTATTATTATTATACTTTTAAAGTTTCACAGCACATAATGGAAATGTACAGAAAGAGTCCGAAGGCAATCTGGCAAAAAAAAAAAAGTTTGAATATCTAGACACCAAAAGCTGTTCAATGCTAACTGGCACTTTATTAAGGATATTGTCACCAGAAAGAATGGAGGTGGAGGTGTGGGTTCTGTGGTGTTTGTGAAGGGATAAACGACACTTTAATCAATTTACAATCAAAGACCTTTTTTAATCCTTTTAGGACATGTGCCCTTTTGGCTGTTTTTACCATATGTTTAGGTCTTACTAGCACAGGTTGTTAATTACTTACGTCTCACTAAAAAAAAAACCTGGGATATTCGTTTGGTTTTACATTTAGTTCTTTTTACAGCTTACCCAAATTGTATATACACACACAATTCTCCGAATTCAGAATAGTGATACAGATTCTGAAGTCCTTATCAAGTCCTTTTTGTAACAAGAAAAGCAATGCAAAAATGACGTATTTCTCTTCTGTTTTGAAAAGGTGGAAGCGAGGAAGTTCACACTTCTGCAGTAGCTTATCAGAAACACATTCATAGTATGGGAAGATGAAAGCTTTCCACTCTATCACTTCACAGCTGATTCTGTTTTCCCCACATGCGTTATAGACTCATAAGACAGCAAAATCTGTTCGTATTCATATCATAATTATTGCCAATACTTATAATTATTGACATTTAAAAACAAAGCATAGATAAAATTTTCATTCATATCGTGGACAGAGACAAGATTGAAGTCCTTTTTCGTTCATTGTTTTGGTTCTTTCCCTGAAATGTGAAAAAAATCACAAAGGCTCAAAATTTATTTCGAGAAACCTTGGATTTAAACATTTTGACTGTAAGGAACTTAAAGAGCAGAATTCCTTTTACAAAGCAAACAAACACTATAAAATATTGGTAAGCTCTTTGAAATAAATATATGGCTAGGTGTAATCCGTATACATGAAGTTCAGTAGTTCTATGCTGGTTTAACAAAGTAAAGTACAATGTAAAACTAAGCGCTAATTTTGTAATAAAAATAGGTAGGGAAGAAGGCGAACATGTTTCTAAATTAAGTGAATATAAATATGCATAAACATTCATTTTAGAACAGTATATTGAAAGGAGAAGTTGGAGGAGTTAAATGAAAGATACTTAAAATAAAGAAACGTCGTTAAAATGAACTTCGCGCCAGTAACATTACATTTCTCTACTAAACACGTCAATTAAAAAATAAACAACTGAAATGTCCATGAGTTTAACTTGAAAGTCAAAAGATTTAAAAATATTGGAAGTTCAAGTTTCAGCGTTGACAAATTCAGACTCGTTGAAATGCCCGATGGAAACAAATAAAAACACAAGTGTATAAATATGTGTCACTTTAAGACCCAGAGGAGCGCCGAGTAAGGGACTGTGCTGTGAGCGAAGAGAGCATTTACTCTCTTGAGTGTTGGTAGTAATTTGGGAGGAGGCGCTGTAGCCATTTCATCACTTTCAAGAGAGAAACCGGAGATCAGGGTCCCAGACCTAGAGTTAACTGTAACCAGAGATCTGCAAACATTTACACACTCTCTTCCAAGAAGAAACAAGGCAGAAACGGAGAAGAACTTCAAAGACCACATTTATAAATATCAATATATGTAATGACATACATTTAATTATTTACCAGTTCTCCGATCTTGCATGGGGAAAAGAGGTCTATGAGATTATTACTCTGCGGTGCAAAGAAGTTTGCTCGTTTGCCTAACTGGAGGTGAAAAAAAGGTCTGATCAAGGAAGACCGAATTGTCTGCAGAAGATGGTTTGGAACATTGATTTGAGCAAAGGGTTTGTGTGCGCTGTGGCGCTTTGGTTTGGGTTGATATTGCCTGTGTGCAAGGCTCGGATTTACACAAACCATTGGGCAGTGCGAATAACCGGAGGTCCTGAAGATGCAGACAGAATAGCAGGGAAATATGGTTATAAAAACATGGGGCAGGTAAGTTTGTTCAGTGTTCATAAAGTTCTTTGTTAATGAACTGTGGTGGTGTCATGCAGATTGGATGTAACTATTAATGTAGTGCTATTTTGTAGCTTAAATCAACTTTGTGTGGGCTGGATTTATGGACTCTGGGGATTGCGAAATTGTGTTCATGTAATTTCAATGTGTTGAATTTTGTTTTTAAAACGATTTACTACTTTAATTGCAAGTCCTCTATCTTGAGAAGCCTGCGTAGCATTTTCCCAATGAAATCGAATAAAATTATAGACATTGTTGTCTTCTTGCCGTGGAATTTAATCAGTATATTTAATATTGACGTTTTAATTATTGGGAAATTAATTGATTTTTTTGCCATTATTTGCTACCAGAGTCGTACTATTAATTAACAGTAAAAAAAAAAGCCATGCTGAACGTCTTTAACCTCTAACACTCGATGCGAGATTGTAGATAGTATTTGAATTGTGAAAATCCAACATTGTGAAAAACCAAGGTGTCCGCGACAACAGGTGTTCACTTTCATATTTATACTGCTGAGATCTAAACGATTTATTTTGGGAGGCGGAGGATATTCACAACTTGAAATATTTTAGCCCTGCACACTCACAAAGTAAAGCACATTAAATTGTTTAAAAATCGACGTCTTCATAAGACGAGAAGACGAGGAAAATAAGTTTACAAAATGCAAATCTACACCGTTTACTGTATATGCCCATAAAATGTTATTTTAAAATCAGATTATCACTATGTGTTAAAATACATAAATTTTCTTTATTTTTGAACGTGTGAAAGAAATCTTAAAATCTATATAAATATATTTAACTTGTGAAATTTAGATATCAAATGATTTATATGCATTTTGTATTGTGGTCAACAGCCATAAGGTATTTGAACCAAGGGGTTACAATGGCTTTCATCAAATGAATTTCTGATTCCTTTTCACGTCTTTGAATAAGATGTTAGCAGGAAAGAAAACAAAAACGATCTTTGATCTTTGTGGAGAATGAGATAAGATAAAATATGACTGTTTTAAGATATGGCGTATATAAACAGATCAAATCATAAATGTACAGATACTTCACATAACTAAGTAGGTTATAAATAACACCATAGTTCTTTCTAGATGCATGTAGTTGTAAGAATAGTATTGCCAAGATATGTTGTGTCCTTTGATTTATGCAAAGCAACAAATCTTGTGTGGATGACATCAGCAGTCTGTAAGATTTATTCTCTTTTCTGGTACTGAATTGTCATTAGCGACATAGTCCAAAGAGCTTGGTGGGACACTTTAACAGGAACTGGTGTAGAATGCGACTTGATGACCAGAAGTACATAAATATACAGTAACAAGAATAGGATTTAATAGATTAGTGGGTCAAGCTCTCAACGCCCAAGGTAACAGCACCCGAGAGAATACTTGTAAAGGCTGTAAATTAGCTTTTTTTCCCCTGATAAATATTTCCCCAGTCAGTCTAACTTAATTTGATCAGTTGAAAAATACAGAGAACAGTACTGTATTGCAGTCATAGTTTATTTACTTTTATTTGACTACTTGCAGTCGTCATTTATATGCAAACTTTCAGCAAACGTTTCAATAAGAGGTGTCACAAAACTGTTCCCTGTGGTTGTTGCTCTGTAGCTGTCTCTGAATATACCTGTCTATTATATAGAATTCTTATTTCATCTGAGTAAGGCCACTAGTCAACACCGCTGAAATATTAATGGTGTTATGTGCCTCAGCAGTGCATGAACAAGTGAAACCCTCTAGCATTACATACGACAAGGCTTCTACTTTGAAGCCTGCAATATGTGTGAAAATCCCTACATGTAGCTGCAGAGTAAGCCTGAAAGAAAAAGGCATATCCTCAGTGGAAGTGTTGATAAAGTCTTTCAAGGTTCTTCTTCACTCTGCCCCTGGGTCTTCCACCAACTCTGAAATAGTTCTAGGAGGTTGCCACATGTCTTTAGAAAGCATCCCCATCCCACACATGGTCATTTGATTTAGAACAGACAGCCTTCTAGGCAAACCATGCTGGGTCAGGGTTTTGTCTCAGTGGAAATATTGGCAGACCTGATTTGGAACAAATGTGGTAAACAGTTGAGTTATTGGGGAAAATTATATCCTACTTTTATTTTTAGTTACCTGTTGAAAACGTATTGCTATGTACAGCCATGCATATAGATTATACTTGATACTACAATTTTTCAAGGATATGAGCATGACAGACTGCTATGAAGAGAAGAAGACTGATTCTGCTTGTGAGCCTGGTTGAATTTATGATTCCTGGTTTAAAAGGAGCACAGTCACACCGTCCTCTTGCACAGAATTCACATTCATCTTATCAATTGCCAATTGTATTCAAAGTGTTTGCTGTATGTGCAAGAATGTAACAATGGTTAGCTGGTTTAATAGTAGAATATTCATTCCTAAAGCTGTCAGTTTAAATCGTTAAAGAGTCTGTTCAATATATATATACTTCAGGTAACTATTATGAGGCTCTGATGCAAGTTCAAAGAGGGCACACATTGACTGAGACAAAATGCATTTACTATTAGTCCATGAGAATGATCTGCTTGATAAAATCATGTTAACTGAGTGATGAGCAGCGCAAACCATTTTTATTTTGACTACTAGAGACTGTTGCTAAGAAGGTCAAGGCATAGCCTGAAGTTCTGCTGTAATGCTTTCTTGTACTGTGGAATGCTAGTTGAAAGTCACTTTCATTGACTGGGGTTTGGAAAAGTGACAATAAAGGTCTGTTCTCATCAAGAAGGATTAAAGTTGAATGATTTGCTTAGAAAGCAACAAGGCAATATTGTCAGAAAGGAGATGCTTTAGATGAGAATGCAGTGGTTAGGGTATATTGATTATAGCTCACATAAACAGGCCTAAATTGGTGACATGGGGATGATATCAATTTTAACCTGAAATCTGAGTTGGTATTGTATCAGATGTGTGATACACTGTGCCCAACGTGATCATGTATAGTAATTGCTATAGTAATAAATGAGAATTTCTGTTTTCTCATTTGTGGTGCATCATTTAATCTTAGGTGTATGTTTATATTCATGTATGTATTAGATAACTTGGAAGAGTGTTTTATTTAACTAATTTTCTTATATAGAAACCCTTGCTTTCAGTCCTGATTCCTTGTGCATATGTTCTCTTAAGTAGTTACTTAACGTACTGAACTGAAAGGTGCTTGAATTAGATTGTTATTCAGAACATTTTTAAACATTTTAAAGATTAATTGCTCAAAGATATTTAATCACTTATTTATTCAAAGATAGTTCGGTGAAAAATAATTTCACATGTCTGTTTTTAGAAGTGAGATTGAAATCTGTCAATACTCTCACAATAATTTGATTGTTTAAAATAAAGTGAGATATGGTGTCATTAAATTTTGAGCTTCATTAAGTGTAATAGCAGCTTTTTGAGTTCAGTAAGATAACTACAGTAACTACAGAAGAGAGCATATGTGCAGTATACTATTAAACGTAAAACAACTGAAAACTAAATATTTGCTGGGGTTAACAATCCATAGATAAAAGGCATCAGTCTATTTTAATTTGAATTAACTTCTTAAAAGTTCTGTGTTTTATAAGAATTAAAATGTTGAGTAGTGAATATATTAGGTCTGATCCTGTACAACACCAAAAAGCTCACTACTTTTAAGATCTCACTAATTGTTTTAATCTATAATGATCCCTAAGTCTTTTAGGTCATTTAAAAAGATTTATTACAGGTTTTATGACATCTTCCAATAACTCTGGATTTTCAGATGAAGAACTATTGTGCCTGAACGAATCAGTATAACTTGTAGAGCTCTGACATTTGACTGAAATCTGGATGTCTTTTCTAGTTGTACTTTGACACTTTAGGAAGAGGATTCCTTCATTTACAGCATGTGTCAGCTTGCTGGGGAAAAAAAAAAGTTTCCAGCAAGGTGATAGCTTAAGTCTTCTCCTTTGACCCCTGCCAAGTGCTATTTACTGTTAACAGGATGACTACAAATCAAATAGCTCACAGTGGGAAAATTAAGCTGGAATGTCTAACTGTTATCACCCTGGAAAAAGCACTGGAAATGTTTAGAAATCTTTCAGCCACTGAGTACTCCAATAGCAGAAAAAAAGACATAATTTCCTATGCCTCTGATAAATTATTTATTGGAATTAAAAAGCAATCAATATGTTGCATAGAAAGGAGTTGCTGTAGAATAAAACCCTTGGGCTTACTAGATAAAAAGCAGAGCCTCTCTGTCTGAGGATTCCCTTGATCCTATTTGTAAGTGCAGATTCAATGTATCAACCATCGCTGATTAAACTGTGGTAATAAAGTAAAACAGATATACTTCAATAGACCACTTTAATCTGTGGACTACTTCGTTTGGGAATCTTTTGCTGCGGTGCAAAAGGGTAGACTTCACTTTGTGAGCTTCAGAGTTAATTAGCACAGTCCTCAAACAATTGTTGCGGTCAATAATAATAATAATAATTGTATTACTATATAACATTTATTGTTATATATAACAGCTTAGTATAGTATTAATAATACTTGGTAATACATAAATACCAACAGCTCATTTAATGTAATTATTTATTATTAACAGAGAAGATCTCCAGCTGCACATATTTTAACAGGGAATATAAAAAATGTAAAATAGGTGTGCTTCTTTAGTGCTCAGTTGTAGTCTTTGTTACTTTGACCTTAATTCCATAAATGGTTGCAGTTGTGTTTTAACTGTTTTACAGGTGGCACACCTGACCATAATTACAGTACATTAAATTTATCAGCTCCTTATCTCTGCTGACAGCTAGTTAAGACTTAAGAACCTGCTTGTTGTTAGGGCTAGGCTTATGAATGCTGTACTTCAAAATATATGCTTTTGGTGGCCTGCATTTTAATGTTTGTGACCCCTTGTCAGTTACTTATCGCTGTGGTAATAAAAGTAGCCTGTTAGGTTTGGTTTGTCTGACTCACTGCAGTTTTAGACTATAAGGTTTCCTTGTTTATGAATCCACACTTCTGTTTATATAGTATGTTCTTCTTCAAAATTACAGTTGTGGTGGCTTCATTTATCAAAATTATTGTATAATTAAGTATACTTTTAAAAATGTCTGTTTGTGTGCTAATTAAAAGCACTAAATGTTAGGATGCGTCATATGCAATTTGAATAGACTTCAATTACAGCACAAAAATGAAAACCTTATAAGAATATAAGAATGATTACAATAGAGAAAAGGCCATTTAGCTTATTTGGATTTTAGTAGCTGAATGATTTGAAGATCTTAGCCAGCCATGTTTTGACTAAAGCAAAGGTATCAGCTTCTGCAGTATTGCTAGATAACTTGTTCTAAACTCCCACAACCCTCTGTGGGGAAAAAAATTCCCTTGTTCCTATTTTTAAATGCACTTCCCTGTTGTAACACTTATTTACTCTGGAATTAAGTGACTTATCAGCGCCTGGAAGACCTGATATAATAAAAGGCGATGTCATATCTTGACAGATTAAAGTCACAAAGTACAGTAAAGGCCACCGTTTAAGTTAGTTTTAGTCTTGTTATTGTCTTGTAATAGGTGTTGGTATAAAAGCGTGACAGTTCAGCCATATGTTTCAGTTAATTGGACAATGATGTGACTTCTCATGTTTCTTGTGCTTGAAAATTGATCAGGGGTTTAAAGTAACATTTGCAATCCCAGGTTTCCGCGGCAAATGAATTAATTATGTGCGCCGAGAGAGATGATATTATGCAAGTCTCCTGCTTTGAAACACACAAAAAATTTACCTCTTTCATTCTTTGCAGATTGGCGATTTAAAGGACTATTACCACTTTTACCATAGTCGAACAATAAAAAGGTCAACACTCTCAAGCAGAGGAAGGCATAACTTTATTTCAATGGAACCGAAGGTAAGAACATCCAGCTTGCATCCCATGTCATGTTATTGAGAAGGATCTACATTTTTAATTTGTAATACTAAACTGTCTGATGCATGGATCCATACTTAATGAGAGCTATTGATGCCTGTTCCTTTTGTGTCCTAGTTAAAGCTTTTTTATAAGGTAGGGGACAACACACCACAGTAAACATGCAGAGGCTGGTTCATCATAATTACGATCTTTATTTTATCAAGCATGGATGATGGTGCATCATCTCAAGGCACTTTTCAATACAAACAAAAGCCCAAACTTTAGAATTGCATAAAACACGTTTTAGTACAATAAATTAGACTACTAAAGAAAGTTTTGAGAAGGGATTTTAAAGTGTTGCCTCACTTACAAGGTCTCATATGGGCTGCAGGATCATTCCACAGCTTCGGAGCAACCGAGCAGAAAGCATGGCCTCTCTGTGAGTCCTAAGACTGCAAACGACTTACAGGTGTATAGGGAGATAAGAGTTGGCGGATGTGGTCAGGAACCAAACCATTCAAGCTCTGAAAAGTGAGCACCAGTGTTTTGAATTTTATTCTGAAATCCACAGGGAGTCAGCGCAACACTGCTTACACAGGAGAAAGACGAGAACGTATTTTAGTGTTAGTTCTGAGTTTTACACATATGGCAAGTTGTTAAAAAAACTAGATACACTAGCAAACACTGCATGACAATAATAAATCCTTTTAGGTTCTTTGTATAAGATTGGGAGAGATGACTGGATATGAGTATCTAGTAACAAGTAACAGAAAAACATCTCCACAACATTGCGAATATGAGCTTCAAATGCAAGGCACAGATCAAAGATTAAACCAAGATTTCTCCCTTGAGTACTTGGACTGATTCCAACACCATCAATAGTCAAACTAAAGCTGACACAGTTGTTGAATTGGTAAGGAGACCAACCATTTTAATGTCCCTGCGACAGAATTGCTTGATTAATGCCAATATACACTTTCATCTAATTGATGAGGTTTCCATTTCCATTTATACCACTAGTCCTCATTATCTATTCAAAAATTACTGTACTTGCTTGCAAAGTAATAAGCTATCTTGTATATAATAATAGTATCCTAAAACTCTCTGACTCTCTGTGGTCATTAAAAATCCCAGGGCGTTTCTCGAAAAGAGTAGGGGTGTAACCCCGGCGTCCTGGCCAAATTTCCCTTTGGCCCTTCCAATCATGGTCTCCTAATAATCCCCATCAATGAATTGGCTTCATTACTCTATTCTCATCCCCACTGATAACTGATGTGTGGTGTGCGTTCTGGCGCACTATGGCTGCCGTCGCATCATCCAGGTGGATGCTGCACATTGGTGGTGGTGGAGGGGAGTCCCCATTACCTGTAAAGCGCTTTGAGTGGAGTGTCCAGAAAAAGTGCAATTATTAATTATTAGTATCAAAAAAGATGTTGTTGAGTTCAAATTTAACTAGAACTTGGATTCATCAAAGATGTAGGCTACCCATGCTGAGAAAGAGCTTTGTGTTTGAAATGTGTTATTTGCTGTTTTCTGTATACATCAAGCCATCATTGTGTTCTTTTTAGTCTTGGGGTGCTGCTTATTCTTGTTCACTCATTGAAGCAAGAAGTGCCTTTTTCACTTTGAAAATTAAGAAGCAATGAAGGGACATGGTATTTATGTGACCCAACGATTCAGCTGTGATCCATTAATAACATAGCTCTTGAGGGTCCCAAACCCTAGAACATGAGATTTTTCATCGGAAATTGTGATTGCATATTATTTGTATTGATAGTTTCTTTTATTCACATGCAATATAACACATTGGTTACTTAATAGAATTGCAAGTCTCTACAACAGTTTGTAAGTCTTACCTTCATTACTTCATTACAACCTAGATTTGATGCAAAACTGTGAGATTTTCAGACCAAGTCGTAAGACCATGAGCTTCACTCCCAATGCGTGAGACTTGAGTACAAGTCTCAGTCTACCATTATGCACTATTGCAGCTGGAAAATGACCTTGCTATGTGTTACTACAGAACACTGTTTCAATATGGATTGTATTTTCCTATACAATTTTAAATGCATAGTATATTTTATTTGATCAGACTTTTCTTAGCAATGGGAATCATACCTTTGCCTTTTTTGATGAAAGTTAAAATAATCTTATGATCTCCTTGATGGAAAAAAAAAGGTATTTTGGTGTATGGCTGTGAGAGTCAATAGTCTGTATAGCCTATGCTGCAGAGGTTGTAGGGTGCTGAATGCATACTACTGTGTAGAGAAGTTGGTGCCAGCTGTACCAAAAGGTTAGCCTTTCATGTTTTTTTACAAAGGGAAGTAAAGGAAAATAATGGAGAAAGAACAAATTCTTACCCTAATGAATGTCAGCATAATCACACAACACCTGGCAGCAGTATACAATCACAGATATTAACACTTAGTCAATTAAGTTTTGAAGCTGTATTGATGGTGTGATATTATTCACTTACACATTACATACCCGTATCTATAAATCAGTCTGTCAACCGGTTTTATTTCCTTTTATTCTTTGTTCCCAAGTCACCCTTAAATGTATTGTATATGATTACTCTGCCCATAAGTGGAACCTTTAAGTGTTATACATACAGTCCTGTGCTCATTTACCACATCCTTTTCCCCCTGCTATCCCTAATTACCTGATAGCTAAGTAAATCAGAATTGCGATGACTCATATTTTTGTGACACACCCAGGAAATCATACAGCAGTGTGGCAGACATGTTCTGTAACCTTACAGGAATACCATGCTGAGGTTTCAGCAGCAGTTTTTTTTATAGTGAAACAAAAACAGATGTTTGTTAGAAGTAGGAAACATGCCTTATGTAGATGATACATAATTTTTACACTGGAACAAAGGATTTGTTATGCACTTTCTTTTGTTCCTCCATATTAGATTCATGGTGATTCTGTGTGTTTGTAGAATAGAATTTTTTTACTTGACCTGTTCAGCGCTTTTTGCAGTTATCAAAACTTTTGTTATTGTTTCTGTACTGATTACTTATTTATGGCTAAACATTTTGTAAATACCGATTTAATAATCCTAAGTCTTTAGTTACTGCTGCAAATAGATGTTAATGTAATTGTTCTTTCCAAGTGAAATAGCCTGGTTGTGTTCAACTATAGGTCCCTCCTAGGTAGATGTTGCCACTCAGTATAACATGATGATATTTTAATGTTTTTCTTTTAATCATAAAAAATTTTTCTGTTATGCTTTTGCCTTGGGTAATGATCAATGTATATCCATGATGGAAAAGTAAATAATGGAGTTGTCTGATTTTTTTAAATTGGTCCTTTTTGATAAAATATGATTAGACTTAATGGTATTAGTCAACTAAATACTTCACATTCATGTTTGTAATTTCGTGGTGTGGTCTTTGTAATATCGTATTATTTCAAAGGTAGAATTCATTAATATAGACATTAATGTATAATATAATGAGTACTGTGTTCTGCTTTATCTTTTAACTCTTCAAGATATGACCAGGAATACTTGCTTTTATTAATTTGACTGAATCATGTGTTTTAAAGGAATTCTATTAATGTATTTTGGGAGTGAATTGAATAGTGGTGAAAACATTAGTCATACCCTCATACTCTAGATTTTTCTTCTTTTTAGCACACAAATCTGATGGTGGTAATAGGTAGTAGTAGCTGAAAGGCATTTTTTCGTGTCCTTGTTAAAAGGTCTGTTCGTAAAGGGCAAAAAAATGCATACTAGTGTTGTGGTAAGTCTGCTGAGTGCTTGCCATTTTGTGGTTTGTCTTGGCTTGCATGTTTTCTGGAAAGTCTGCAGACCGCGCTCTCAGGAAAACCCGTTGGTGGTTGGAAAATAGAACATTCCTTACCATTTAATGTAAAAAAGCCATAGTAATGATTAGCCATGTTGAAACCTCTCCAGCAAGGTTAATTTAGTATGTCGTTCCCTATATAGTATACTATAGTACATAGTTTAAAAATGTGAACTGTCCTTGTTGTTGTTAGGTTGTGTTAGGTTGTGTTGTGTTGTTACACTTGCACACTAGTTATACTTACACATTTCTCTGTTAAATTCAGACTGTTTTATACTGCCAGACTAAGGTTATATCCGTACTGGAATAATATACATGCATGCATGGAGCTGCTATCAGTCAAGTATTTCTGTCCCTGTCGGCAATACTGCTGGAATATATGGGCTGTGTCAGAAACCTTCAAATGAGCTGGCACTGTCACAGAGAAGCTGACTGCTTGCTAGGATTTGATACACATGAACCACTGTTACCTGGCATTATATACACTACACATGCCTGGACAGGACAGCTGAGCCCTTTCCTCCTCATTTACATCATCCTGCATTTCTTGTGCAGTCCTGTGACAAAACAAGAGCACGTTGTGTTTAACTGCATTTACCTACTTGATGATTTGCTTTGGTTTTACCCCAAATCATGGTTTACATGGTTTCCTACATGGCTAATATCTTTGACGCATGAAGCAAAACCCTGTGTATAATTGAACATATAACTGGAGTGTAGTCCAGTCTCTCAAAAACTGTTTTTTGCATGAAGAATTCATTCTCAATTTATAGCTATTGTGACACACTGCTCCACTGCTCTGGTTCACTCAAGCATGCATATATTAAGCGCTTTTGATTGTGAAAGGAAATATCAAAATAATATTAAATGACAAATAAAAAAACCTCTCTACATGTGAGCAAACGGAATAAAGAGTGGGTTTAACAGGAAATGCTAAATCAACCATAAATCTCTCATACCCTTTTGCAGACTGGCAGCTAGAATTGAACAGGTGTTTTACTTGAAATGTTGTGAAATGGCAGTCTCTTATTCCCCTCACCAAAACAGCAACAGCATTTTGACTCCTCACAGCAAGTGAGTGACCAAGCTGAGAATCTTTCAGAAATTCATGTTTTTTTCAAAGATTAACCAGTTATCATAGAGCACAGATAAATGGTAAATGCTCAGACTGCAGTGATGTAATTACTG